GGCCACCCGCTGTGGGCAGAGCACAGATAGCCTGGATAATAATGTGTTTTAAGTTAGTTGGTGTTTTCATCCCGAAACGGCACCTTATGCAATACCTGGGCTAAACGGCTAGTTAAAAAAAACTTCCTAAGGTTTGGACATAGCTGTTCTTCATTTGGAACTTATAATACGAGAACAATAAGTCAGCAGCACCCACCGCCTATGCAGCTAATCTTAACAGAATAGAGGAATTGATTGGCACGGTTATAATGCACTTACGTGCAGCTGAAGGCGTGGAAAGTTTTCAGTGGCATATTGCGGCTCGAACTTTGCACCTTCAGATCCGCAGCCTGGCACAATAACCACTAGGCAACACGTACCCTAATAGTTTAAAATAACAAGTACTCGGCTTGAAAATAAAACAGGTATGAATTATCCTCATGAATTATAATTACTGAAATAGACATTTTAAATACTGATTAAACCTAACAGCTAAACCAAAAACCAACTAGGTAATCAATATCATTATCAATAATTTATCTTGAGAGGAACGCCTAACAGCTCACTGTCTGTGGTTATACAGACTGTACATATACAGTTTTTTTGTTTTACAGGAATTATACCTGTGTTCAGAATACCTCAAATCGGAGTTTCCTTACCAATCTTTGTTCTTCTGCTTCTTTTTTAGCACTTTCGGCAGCTTTCTTTGCCAACATTTGTCTTTTCCATGGCGGAATGGGGAATCCGCTAGCGTCATTTTCTGGAACTTTGTCCATAAAATGTTCAGCTGTAAACTGCTGAGCTATTTCTGCTGTCTTCTTTTTCATCTGAAGTCAATAAAGAAGAAAAAACAACAAAATGGCATTCAACGGTGATAAAATTTGATACCAATATTATCATAACTACTTAGCTCACAAGTGAACAAAACGCAGACAAGGTATAAGTACTTGTCTTATTTCTTATTGAATACAAAGCTGCATATTGTACCCACTGCAGGGATCGAGCCCCGAATTTTAGCGTTATAGGCTCTCGAGATTACAGCTGAGCCGCCAGGGGAAGGGCAGAAGATAAGTAAATTGTAAGTACCATTATTACCAACTAACCGAAACTACACTTATAGAGAATATCTTTCGACTGTTATCTCAAATCAAATCCTGTAAAAAAAAAGCTCCTTTTACAATATTTATTTTTATATTACACCATTAGAATGGACAACAAATAAACGACTATATGAAAAGCGAGTATTTAAAGGGTTTGGCACTTTAAGTTATTTCGAAACTGGGCCGTATTTTAAAGTGACATACCTCTTCCTCTTCTATCTTTTGGCGTTCCACCCTCATTTTTTTCACGCCTTGTATGTCCCTCGATTTTTTTAGTTCAGCAATCAAATCGTTCTTCTTTTCTGTGAGAGCCTCGTTCTTCTTCAGGAGTACGGTTCGTTCTTTTTACAAGTTGAAATGAAAAAAATAAAGTTATCAGATAAGGGCGATACCCTGTCGGAAAAATTATTTTATTTTGAAAGATCTTTATAAGGCTTAGAAATATTTCAAAGATGAAACTTACCAGTACATTAAGCTTCCTTTATTTGTATTAATATTATCATATTTTGAAATGATCGGGTTTTAGATTCTAAGTTTGCTACATCACTTCTATGATTACAGTTTCACTCATTGCATGATTCACTCTTGACATTCTTATAAATCCAACACTGATCTGACCAAATGGCTTGGTGTTAATATAATACTGGTCTTACTGATTAGCTTAGAATTATACCGTATTTCACTCTCTGTATTCTTGTAAATCTAACACTGAGTTGGCCGATTAGCTGGAGTTATGTCGTATTTCACTCTCTGTATTCTTGTAAATCTAACACTGAGTTGGCCGATTAGCTGGAGTTATGTCGTATTTCACTCTCTGTATTCTTGTAAATCTAACACTGAGTTGGCCGATTAGCTGGAGTTATGTCGTATTTCACTCTCTGTATTCTTGTAAATCTAACACTGAGTTGGCCGATTAGCTAGAGTTTTGTCGTATTTCACTCTCTGTATTCTTGAAAACTAACATTGATTTGGCCGATTAGCTAGAGTTATGTCGTATTTCACTCTCTGTATTCTTGAAAAACTACCATTGATTTGGCCGATTAGCTAGAGTTATGTCGTACTTCACTCTCTGTAATCTTGTAAACTAACATTGATTTGGCCGATTAGCTAGAGTTATGTCGTATATCAGCCCAAAGAATATAAAGAACCCAATCAACAACTGGTTCCCAAGTTAAACAAAATGATAAATCGATGGAGAAAAAATCGCGAACAGAAGAAGAAAGTTGAAAAACTAAGACAGCATATTGTCAAACGATACTATGGTTAAATATGACCAAAACCAGTTAGAAAGAAAGTGTCGAAACGCTAACTGGTTACGAAGTGAAAAAATGAAAGGCTAACATTTAAATTTTCCTTCTTTTGCAATATTTATACATTGTACGTACACGATTAAGTGTTATGAACTTTCATTTCACAAGCTTTTCCTGTTTCTGTATTTGATTACTGTGTGTCAGTGTTGAATCCAGACCCTTCCACAGGGGGGGAGGGATGGAATGTGGTTTGGTTTGTTTTGCATTTCGCGCAAAGCTACACGAGGGCTATCTGCGCTAGCCGTCCCTAATTTAGTAGTGTAAGACTAGAGGGAAGGCAGCTAGTCATCACCACCCACCGCCAACTCTTGGCCTACTCTTTAACCAACGAATAGTGTGATTGACCGTCACATTATAAAGCCTCCACGGCTGAAAGGGCGCGCATTTTTGGTGGGACGGAGATTCGAACCCGCGACCCTCAGATTGCGAGTCAAGCGCCCTAACCACCTGGTCATGCCGGGCCCCAGGTGAGAATAGTAGTTTGGGAGTTATCATTAGCTTTGACAGTTATACTTTTCTAACAGGGTGGTAAGCCTTTGAAATGCATTGCCTTCAGATGTGGTGGATGCATTGCTTTAGATGTAATGAACAAAGAAGACTTAATAGAGTTTAAAGAAAGACTCAATAAATATTTAAGTGATCAAGATTGGATAATTTGAGTCCTTATGCTTTTTTTTTCTTCAAAATAATGGGAAAACTGGCCATTTGTTGTCTTTAAGTATTATGTATGTGTTAATGTTTTATTAAATAAGTATAAATAGAATTTGACTCAAAAGCAATAAATATGAATGAACAGAGCTTTTTTAAGTTTCCAATTAATTTTTCATTTTGGCTCTAGACAGACTTTTTCTTACTTTCACTCAATGACACTTGGACATGATTAGAAAATTTCAGGCTTGGTTTAATACATGCATATCATATTATGTAGTATGCAAATGAAACAAAATGCAACCATGTGATAGTAAATTTCAGTCTTGTACATTATATAAAATTCTCAGCTCACACACACACAAAATACTATTATGCAAAATGGGGACAAATTGAAATACAAGAATGTCAGACTTTCACATCTGGAATGAAGCAGGTGCACAACAGAAGTTGGGGTGGAATGGCCCTCTTGGATTATCTTATTAAAACACTGTATGAATATGACTTATTAGCCTAATTTAATGAAGACATTAATAAATAATGTTTCCAATACTGGTTTGGTAGAAAAACTTGAATCAGAAAAAGTTAACTTTTCTGGTTCCAAAGAATCTCATTAATCAGAAACTTTCTTTGAAAGGTAATAGCATAACGTATTCAGATCAAACTAATTATCCTGAGAACAATAGGTCCACTGAATAATAGGAGATTTGACAAGATACATATTACACAGTAGTTCTAAATTGCTTTGAATAATTTAATTCATGAAAATGAAATAAAGTGACCCAACGTAAATGTAATGAATAAATTTTATTAATATCATAAAAATAGCACATGTGCTTGAACAGACCTTGGACTATTGCTTTAACTGGAGATTAAATATTTTTCTTCAAACTGACTTGTTTAAGACTGAGTACCAGATGGTTTAAATCTAATATTTCTTACTTAACATGTAACATTAAATTTACCCTGATTGACTAGCACTACCCACATGACTGATCTTTCTCATTTGAACATAAACAAGGTTGTAATCTCAAGGTATCACCTGACCTACTATTGGAGGGTACGGCTATCTACGGATTTGCACAATGTGCAGTATTACAACCATATCTTGCATGGGCATAAAAGGTGTTACCTCCAAAGTATGATAAAGGAACAAAGGCAGTTAGAACAAAATCACCTTAACTATATCAGAAAATGAAAGGTGTGTTTATATACCACAGTAGCATACCTTCTCTGGCTCTTTCTCCAGCTTCCAGTGGGAAGTCCTAGCAAAACCATGTTGTGGTCCAGCACTCCAGGGGCCAAACTGTGCTACAAGGATATACAAAAAGGAAACAATGTTACACCTCTATTAATACAAATAAATCATTAATATATAACTCATAGTTGTTTGTTAAAAATTGCTATTATCATCTTTTGAAATTTAAAGTAAAATAACTAGTACACAGAAAATATTAAAACAATGATAAATAAATGGCTCAAACTTTCACAAACTCAATAAAATTATAATAAATTGTGTTGATGATATATCTGAAAAAGTGAATGGTAAACAGTAGATAAAAGCATCACTTTTCTTGATAATCAAATGAAGATTTTTAAACACTGTAAAATTTAATGGATTTTCATAAATATTGTAAATGTAGTTTCAGGCCATTCATCTTAGATTTGCATTTAAAGGATTGATTATTAACTTACAACATACTAAAATACAAGATATATTAAAATGACATCCAAACATGAAAAGATAAACTTGTTTCCTTTACTGTAAGTATTTTTTCCCCTTTAATCATCAAAAGTTAGGGTTTCTATAGACTATTCCTGTTTAAGATTTGAAAAAGTCCTCTGGAATTATAGCAAGTCAAATAAAAACTTACTTTAAATTTATTACTCTTTTATACTTAGCAAAAGTAAATGGACTCTAAAATCAATATATCGAAATGATTTTGTTCTTTATTAACTCAGTAATTCCAACTGACCTAATAACTACTTCAGCTTAAAGCAACTGTGAAGAGGAGTTGCAACAACTTTAATTTTTAACTGGTATCATACAATTGATTTTTTTAAACAGTCAACTCTATTCTCAATATTTTAGTAACTCTCATCTCTAGTAAAGATGGAATATAATTCGAAGTTAATATTGTGTTTAGTTCAATCTTAATAAATGTTATTCATCAATGAAAAATGAGAAAATTTAAATATCAGAGTTATAACTTTCAAAAATTCATATACATTGTTAAGTGTCTTTATCAATGTCATAGGTATCATGTATGTGATATACACTCCGTTATTTCTTTATTGTTACTTTCATTGACAGCATTCATTAGGTTATTTAATATATCTAATATTATTATTATTATATTATACTTTTATTACAGAGATTGTTTGATAAGTAACAAAGCAGGAAAAAATATATAATTAACTAAACTCATTACCAGATTGATTTTTAGTTTTGTTCTAAGTAGGTAGCTTACTCTGATCGGAAGATAATATTAATTACAGTTCACACTAATATGAAAATGCAGTACAGTGAGCTACTTACGAAAAACAAATGGTATTCCTCCTCTTATCGCTTTTTTATTGTCAAATACTGCCTTGTCACTGAAAAAATAAAAATTCAATTACCTTTTAGCTCCACTATGACTGATTTTTTTCAGTACAAATGATTCTGAAAAACACCATTTATTTTTGCACAGCTAAGTAACTTAGCTATTTATTTTAAAATAACATAAAGCCTACTATTTAAATAATCACTTTTACTATAATGGCCCAATTAACTTGATGATTTAAGATAAATATAAACAGTAAAAAATACAGAATAAAATGTAGTTTAATTTTATTCTTTCATAACTTTTTTAAAAAATAAATATATTTCTAAGTACATTATAACATGATGTGAAGAAATTCTTAATAACTGACAAATAATTTAATTTAAAATTAAATATTGCAAAATCATCAAGTGCTGATTTTCTGCCTTACCTTACAAATAAGATTTCTGCATCATCAACTTTCCAGGAAAGCAGAGTTGCACCTGAAACAAAATTAATATTCATTTTTCCATTTGTAAAAGAGAAAATTCAAAAAGCAGATCTCTATCCAGTATTCTACACGAGCATAAGATGCATTCCTATCCTGACCATTTATTCACATACAAGATTAAACGTGAAATCCTTCTCCTTTCAAAGGGACTGACTGTGTATAACAAGATAAGAGAAAGGAAGAATTTTACTTGAAAGAAGTGATCAGAAAGCTTGTGAAAGAAGTACTACTGCTGGAATTGGGAATAAATATGGAAAGTGTTTTGGTTAAAGTTTAAATGATAGAAAAAAAATCCTGTTTATTTTTCTCCATAAGCCTTCAGCTCAAGTTATTAGTAATAGTATACTATTAATAGAAAGAAGCTTATATTTATATATTAATTTTACAAACTTCCCTAGACTAGTCTGTCTCTTTGCATACGGCTGAAGTAGTTCTTAAAGCAACAGATGATTGTTTTCTCACTCAGTATGTTAGAGTCTCTACCAGAGATGCCATTCTAAACCTTATTCTTAATACTAATGAGGATATGGTTAGAAATGTCAGCAAAAAAATAAATTAATACTAGCAATTACACTATAATTCTTGTTCATGTTTTTAATAAAACCTGTTGTACAATCAACATAACATAAGGGTAACACAAAACCATTTGGTTCTTCCAAATGAGAAGACATAAAAACTTAAACACAACTTTATTTTTCAGGAAATTACAGATTCCCCTTGTTTAACTCTTGTAAAGTGCTGTCCTTCCCTAATGCTGAAGACAACTCATTATTTAAGCCAATCTCTATGATAGAAAAATAAAACTGTTTTAACTGGGGCCTAGCCTGTCTTTTCTAATAATTAAAATTCTATCCTCTCATCCTACAAAGAAATTAGAGGCCTTTATCTTATCCATCCCCTAGATAATCTTGTAAATTTAATAAGGTCATCTCTTACCATTCTTTTCACATAAAACATCTTAACCTCTTCCCTCATAAGATAAACTTTTTATCCCCAAAATCATCCTAGTAGCCCTTCTCTGAGCCTTTCAAATAAGTCAATATGCTTTCTTTAATTAGGAGACCAAAACTGCATACAGATTTCCAGGTGTGACCTAACTACTGATTTGTATAGAGACAATTATTTCTTTTTACTTATAATCAATGTCTGTAAATACACCTTAAAATTCTATTAGTCTTGCTACCAGCTATTGAGCACTGTCTCAATGGCTTGAGTAAATTATTAGAGGAGTAGAACTAGAGGAAGGTTGATTCAGGTGTTCAAAATTGTCAATGCTTAAACAGTAGGGTGGTCTTTATTTACAGGTAAAACTTCAAATTAAAAATTCTAAAGTTACCACCCTCTAATTTTGTTTCAATCTACAAAAAGAAACATTAGATGTCAAACATTGTCATTTTGGACCATATCTAAAGGCTGCTCATTAAGGTTGAAGTTCCATGTAGCCAGCAGTGGTCTGGTACTATATATAAATAGTGTGATATAAAAACATGTTTATTATGTTATAAATTATTTATTTAAAGTATATTATTATTTTATTGTATGTACAATAGGATAATTGCACAGTTATGTGATTTTAGTATGGGTAGTCACTTTTGCATTGTTTGCTTTTTGCTGTTAGGAAAGCATCTTCTATGATCCTGCACAACTTGAAAGATGAATTATTTTTGTTATTTTTTCTTTGTTATGATATCATTATACTCCTCAACAAGAGCCACACCACTTTCAGCATTGTCATTTACCAATGTACTCCCTGTAGTCCTCTTTGAGCTCCCATGACTCAGGGTCATAATCCAGAAATCCAGACAGAATTTCAAGGTACCTGAAGAAGTCTGTTGTGTTCTTTGTGAGAAAATCTTTGGATGACATGTTCTCAGACTTCCTTGTATTCAGCTGGATGTGCTTTGGAGGTTCATCCATGCCTTCCTTCTCAGTCAGTGCCTTTACCATTGCTCATTTTGTTGCTGTGGGCACAGCTGAATTAAAGAATGCCAACCCAATGAGTTCCTCATTGAGATACCATAGTTCTCCAGCAAATTTTTGACAAACAGGTTCTGAAGGAGCAAAGTTCACCTTCTTACACTTAACAAGATATTATAGGAAGTTAAAATCATAGTGAGGTACAGAAATAGTATCAGGAGCAGTGAACCATGCCGTAAGACTCAAATAACAAAGATGCTGATGTCATTAATTCCCCCTTTCCATGTGGAAGGATACCACAAAGAAAGGCTACGGCTAGTTCAAGAAGCTCCCGACAATCATTTTCATCTAGGTTGCCTGACCTACAGTTGTCTTATAGCAAACCCATTGACACTGTCCTTAATTGGTTCATGTATTCCCAAGATTGCTGGAATCAACTGAAAATTGCAATATCTGGACCAAAGGCCCACATGGTAGGACAAGTTCTAAGATATGATACAGAATATTCCAAAAGTAAAAAGTGAGAGCATGGATTATTTATATATGAAATAATCTTAAACATTCTGAATAATGTGGAATACTATAGAATATTCCATAATAATCTAGAACCTTCCAGAACTATTCATAAATATTCTATAATTTTCAGAATATGCAGATATTATGCAAGGTACAAAGTAAAAATTCAACTAGCTTGAGTAGCCTCTAAGTGTTACTTTGGATAAACTTTGGGGCAACTTCCTTTTTTATGTATTTGAACAAAATGATGAGATATGTTGTAAATCAAAAACTTCAAAAATAAGGACCACCCTATTGGGCATCTTCCTGTGGGTGATATATCGGAGTGGAAAGGTTGAAAATAATTCATATATTAATAACTTTAGTCTTTAAGCTTTAGCCTAGGGGGCCCATATACATACTTTTTTTTAAATATTCTTATTATTATTCCTTCTGCGTTACAAGTTTAAAATAGGTATATATGTGTGTGTGTGATATTGGAATATTTCCCCAGGCCCAGTTAAAATAACGTTTTGGTTGGGAATTTAAAAAGAAGAAAAGGTGGATTTTCTTTTCTCAGGAACATAAGTTTTTATAAGAAAGGAACTACCCGTTTATAATCTCTAGGTTTTTGTGCTTCGGTTTTCATTGCCAGCAAAATCCTAATTGAGTGACTGAATAAAATTTACGAAACTTCTGTCACAAATTTTATCAAATTGGTTTAATTATTTTAAACTTACAGTTACATTTTGTTTTAAATTTTAAATTAACGTTAAGCCGAGGCGTAAATAAAAAATATATATATATAATTTATTAAAATTACAAATAATTAATTAAAAATACCAAACTATGCATTATTTATTTCATACATATACCAACCACAAATATTTAGTTACAGTTACTCGTCCTCACCTAATAAATGAACTTTAAACAATGAATCTTCTCTTTCGGCTAACACAACATTTTTTTCCTCGACACTATCCATATCTGAATCAGATGAGAGATGTCGCTTCCGTCGTCCAAGTAGGGGAAAGAAACACCCAAAAAGTTTTGACATATTATCACCAATATTTTCGCATCCAAAACTTGGAAATGTTTTACTAAGAATTATGTTATTTTAAACTCAACCTTATAACCACAGTTTAACACTTTACAGTTATTCATTGTGACCAACAACCATACAAAATGAGGTCACAAGGTGGTTAACCAGACAAACCTGTTTTGATCTGTTAAAAAAAATGTAACAAATGTTATACATTTAAAAGAACATCAGATGTTTGTTTGTCAAATTTGTCGCCGAAATGTTGGCGAAAATAAAATTAATTATGTTTTCTGGAGTAATAGATCGTTTTTATTTTTTTAACAATGAATATAACTTTTCAGTTTACACTACAAACTTTAAATTCTCAAAATAAATTCCCTTTGTTTAAATATTTTAAAAGGTTAGTTCCATATCATTATTTTTTCATAGCAATAATGCAGAAAACTGACATCCAGTAACGCTTTTTTGCTTATACTACATACGTCGAGTAACAAATATTGTTGCCAATCTACTTGTTTGTAAATTTCTGGTGGAAAATCTTTCCGAGAAACTACAGTAATACAAGTCCTTTCTTGGTTAAACCAGTTTATTCTTCCTCGATACAAACTTTTAGCACACAGTAATTTCACAATCAGTACGTTTCTCGTCACTTTCAACTTACCTACTTTTATAATAAACGCTATAAATCACAATCTCGATAACAAAACACACACTAGCTCGAAACAGAATTATAAATTACCCGGAACTCTTTTCATTCAATCCCGCAGTCTTTCCCTGCCAGGCTTATATACTAACGAAGGGGGCGGCTCGAATACACTCGGGCGTCCCCAATCATTCATGATCATTCAAGAAATTCATCACGTGTTACCAGAGTCACGTGAGTTACGCTGTCGTAACACTGCCCCTTCCTTGGTATTGTTCGTCCCGAACAATAGCCACTTACATTAAACCAATAGATAATTAACAATAACTTAATTAGATGTACAGAATTTACAAACACAAAATTAAAATACAACAAAGTCTCTTAATTTTACAGGACGTACCTTCTTCCGTACTGGTCTCCATTTCATTGGCATCTGCTTCATATGGGGTTCATCTGCTCCATCAGGAAATGTCCCATTATCGGTAGCAGTCACATCAGTGGTAGTAACTTCATTAACGGCTTCACTGTTCTCCTTCTCAAAACTGGGTAGAGTTCCTTCTTCAACAGTGGCTTTTTCAGGTGACAACTGAAATGACCTGGACTGTGATAATACCAAAGACTGTTGGCATGCACCACCTCTGGCTTACCTCGCCGACCACATTTTATTCGAAAAGTCACATCTGAGAAACGATCCACCATGTCATATGGGCCTTCCCATAGAGAAGACAACTTAGTAGACCTCCCTTTGGTCTTCCTGGTACAAAGTTGACTTCAGTATATTTCTTATCATAACATAGCTTCATGGAATCAGCAGACGTTTTTAAGTTTGAATGCACTTGATTATGAATATCATCCA